CCCCCCCCCCCTTTTTTGTAGATGCAGCGAAAGAAGCGTGTACCTATTAACATCGACGACGACCTCTCCATCGACTTTTCCTCGCTTCCTGAACGAAAGAAAAACAACGAAAAGTCGGGAAAAGATGCCGTGGCGAGTTTATTGTTGTCGGACGAGCACCCGACAGCCGCGCCGCAAAGTCAGGGCGGGGCCGAGAGGGCCTTCGACCCCGCCCTGCAGGGGTACGTCCGGCGCCTCCCCACGGCCATCCACGGCGGGAGGGGGTTGGCCCGACGACGCGGCGTACGTTTTGGGGGGGGGGAAAAATCCCCCCTCCCCCCCTCCCCCCTCCGCCTCCGCCGCGGGGGAGAAAAACCACGAGGTCGTCCTCGCCCTCTGCGAAGGTCAGGAACAGCGGCAACAAACCCCAATGCAATTAAATGAGAAAAAACTCGCGTATGAGGCGGCGCTGCGGGAATTTTGCCAGGGCCATTCGACGCGGCTCAAAAAGACGACGAAAGGCGATCCGGAAGCGGCGCCGGCGGTGTTCTCCAGCTCCCTCCTCGCGGATTTTTTTTCGAACGGCGTGCCCGATATCGAGCCGTGGGATCGGTGGGCCTTTGAGCTGCCGAGGTACGATCCGAAGGCGTTAATTTCCAACAAATCCACGAAGCGATCCAATTCGGCCACCCACGCGGCAATTCGTGGGGTGATGGATCTCGAGCACCATGCGATCCTCCAAAACTCCTTCTACACCCTCAACTGCCAACAATCGACAGCGCATACGACCCCTGTGGAGGCGAAACTCATAAAAACCAAGGACGAGCTTCGCAAAGAGCGGCGTGAGCGGTTAAAACAAAAGCAAGAGCAGGAACGTCAAGAGCGTCTGAAGGGAAATTCGGAAAACGACGCCGCCGCGCACGCGGATCAGCTTCGCAGCCGTAGTTTAGCCCTGCATTTATTCAATCACAGCGTGTTGAACCCTGTGGCGACCGAAAATCAGATCTATGACCAATATCAACAGCGCTTTATTGAGCATCAGCAGCGCAACCACGACCGCCACGTCGCCGCCCTCCCGAATCAAATCCTCAAACGCGAGAAGGATGCGATTCGGCATGCGCAGGAGCGCCCGAGCCTCCGGGCGTTTCGCATTTATCCCATTTTCAGCCCCGCCCACCTCGGCAAAATTCGCAATCTCGCGAATGATAACCGGCTGCGCGGGGTGATTGTGTGGATCGCGGGGTGCGATGCGCTGGTGATACTCTCCGGCGGCGACGTCGCGATGCGGCACTTGGAAGGGTGGATTTTGGATAAAATGCGGTGGGAGCATCCGCAAACACGGGCGACCCGGCTCTGCGCGATCCCCCTTCCTACGTTTGATGTTTTCTCCTTTTGTGAGAAAAAAAAGCACGCGAAGGAGGAAAAGGGAAAGCGCACCCGTCTCGAGGTTGGATCACCGGCTAACACGTCTCAGGCGAACCTTGCAGCCGCGTCGGAGGCGCAGGAGCCAAAGGAGGCGGTTTTTATGAATTTTTGTGAGACCATCGCTGAGGGCGAAGCTTTTTTGCACACCGTGCCGGCCTCTGGCAGCGCGTGGAACGATTTTTCCGCGATATGGCGGATGGCTTTTCTGCAAGATGGGCTCTCGTAATCGGGATGGCGTATTTGGGCGTCATCGATCGGACGTGGGAGAAAAAAAAGGCTGTCGATGTTAACCCCAAGCGAAGGGTGAGAAGCGGAACGAAATAGGGGCAATTTTCCCCCGAACATGTTAAAGTATTTAGGGTTGGTGCAAATCTTTAAAAAAAAATAGGAGTGATCACGCAACTCTACGACGCTTTATAGGTAATTAAAATTTTTATATTATAATGCATAACCGTATATGTGTTTGATGCTCTGACACAGCGCATTTTGGGATGCTTCTCTTATAATTCTTCCCTCCCCCCCCCCCCCTCTATTTTACCCCGACATATTGCGTTGGTGAGAATTCGTCTTTAGCTTCCTTTTCCAAACTAACCCTATCGTATTACCAACCCAAACCCACA